GGAAGTTATCCTTGAGGATTTAGCCCTGTGTTTGTTGCAGATATTAAAGTTAAAGGCGGGTACAAATTGAGGGGTATTAATCAGCCACATTTGGAGTCAAGTGTAAGGGAAATTGTACTTTACAATTAAAAATTTCTCAGGGAAAGTGCTATAAGTACAAGTCATAGCATGGAAAATCCCCAGCAGTAAGTACAAATTTTCTGGAAATCCAAGGATCAGCAATGACAGTATCCCGTACACTAGTACACTACTTTTGAAGACAACCCATGTCAAGCAGAAACAAAAATAATCCCATTGGGTGCCACTTTGAAAAAAACAGCATCAAAAACAGTGATAGATGTACATGTACATTGTTAAACCTTTGGACATGAATTGCAGGGATTGGTGAAGCGAATTCTTCTAGGAGATGACGTATGGTCTCGCCCTGATCAGACATGTTCACTGGATGCTCAAGAGTCAACCCTTCCTCTACTTTGTGATCCTTTTGGCAAGATACCGGTATCTCCAAATCAAGAGGTATTAATAATAACATTGATGTTCCCATTTTCTAGGCCCATTTAGGACTAAATTCAGCTCAAAATGGAGGATGAAATGGACTCAGACACCTCATCCGATATCCCATAATAACCCTCTGAATAATAATGATCAACATAGAATAACACTAGACAGATTAATCAGTCAAGCTCAGAATGAATCACAACCTCAAACTAAAAGCCGTAAATGACCAAAACACATCATACAGTGATGTCTACACAGACTCGGACCTCCACAAAACACCCAACCTACATGAACATGTACATGTATGTCACTTTACCCAGAGTCAAAATACCAAGAGGCAACTTACCTGTACACTAGTCATCATCAATTTCCCAGGTGTCACACTTGCTAAAGTTAATCTAATCAGAAATAGCCAAAGGTCTGAATAATCTCATTGGTAATTTTGTGAGAAGCGTGTTCAAAAATGACCACGGGGGTATCACTACTCCAGCCCAGCTAGAAGCCATGTGGCAACATGACCAATGGGCCTCAACTACCAAATTTGCTAAATCAAAAAACCCAAAGCAAGGCAGTTGTCACTGGAATCCCAAGTGAAATGTAGACGCCTGCAAGAAACTCCTTCCCCACAGTAAGTGTAGGTCGGGTCTACTAGAGAATACCTACCCAAACAGTCACTACATAATATGGAAATTTCCCGGCCCATGCGCGTATTATTCATTCGCTGAAAAGATCTGATCACCCATGGTGCACCCTAACCTCCCACAATGCAGCACAGCCTTGCCGCCATGATCGTCCTTCTTTTTGAAAGCAACCCAAAAGGTCAGAGCCAGAGTGGGGAGGACGGGCGGGAGAGGACTGTTTGGGAAGGTATTCTCTAGTAGACCCGACCCAAACTTAATGTGGGGAAGGAGTCTACGGCACTCTACCTACCGAGACAGTCACTCCACATGCAGAGCAGCACCGGTCTAGGTGGGGGTTTGGCAACGACACATCTAATGTTGAGAATACACTTTTACATACATGTATAAACAAGGAGGAATGTAGAAATTTAAGAAATGGTAAAGGAACTTCATAATGACTTGTCGTCCGTCCTACAGGAAGTCCCTTTGACCTCTGTACTGCGGACAGCAGGATTGTCCCGCCATTTACGATGTTGCTATACAGGACATCCCTCAAGTTGCAGGAGGTAAGAGACTTCCTACATGCAGTTTTGCAGATGTCTGCAATGGAAACATCTCCAGTGTAAGACCAAGATGCAGATCCTGCTTTTACGCCATGAACCCTGATGTAGTAATGACTACGTTCATCAGAGCTTAACGGCCAGACTGGATTAGCAAATCTAATGGCCGAAGCCGTCCAGCAGGCGATAGTGTACTGACACCACGGGACGGTGTGGTCTCATGAAAGTGATAAGCGATGGGGTTAATATTGTCCCTCTCATGCTATCGTTTTAGTCAGGTAACACTTTATCAGGACATGAACAGGGCCCTAAAGTTTATCCACATCATCTCCAAGTTGTTAGAAGGCAGAGAGTGTACAGATATCAGATAGATCGGGTGAGGGAGTCTGATCCTTCGTCAGGAAGCCAATCGAAGGAATGAGGTGAACACCGTAGGCAGCCTTCGGCAATGGGGAGAGCCTGTAGTTTGCTGTCTCCTCTGGAGGTAACCATTTTCAGGAGAAAGGGCAACCTGACACAGGTTTGCATGAGGCAGGT